TGTTTAGAAGAGATAATGGCTAAGCATAATATTCCTCCTCAAAGGGAGCATCCCTTACAAGTCCAGTCAAATGTCTTAAGTACATCTTGGTTCAACATTCAGTGTATTTCCATCAGCTGTATCAGAGCACACTTCTAGATGAAATCTAAAGCCAGCTAATAAGAAACCTGGGGAAGTGCATCAAGCTCTTTACAAGGGCAGCAAATCTTTGTGCCATTTTTAGCATCTCTGTATGTTCTAAACACTTCAGCACCCAATGGCTACCTGAATAATCATTCACAAGATGCTTATAAATATACATGTATTCACACTGCATCCTTAGCCGCAGAGCAGCCCTTGTGACAAAGGGGGAAGCAGGATCAATAACAAAGCTAACCATCCCTTGTGTTTCTAGCTGTAGGAGCAAAAAAACTTCAACTGTGATTTGAGATCAGCTCATCCAGCTGGTTCAAGGTTGATTAGTAAACCTTGTATCAACCAGCTCAGACATTAGACAAAGTAGCGCACATCTTCCTACAGCTAACAAAGCTCAATGACTGGAGTACAGCTGGACTTGCTCCCTTTCTGAGCTTCAGCCCATTTAACAAAGTATCTCCTGCTCCTGCTTGCCTCTGATGAAATTTGCACTGCTACACAACTTGGTAAATGAGAGAGCAGGAACAGCAGTGGGGTCACTGGCAGCATAAAATGACCATAAAATAAAGCTAGCAGAGATTTGTTTGTATGATTTATTATCTAGCTGTTCAAAACAGCTGTAACATCTCACTTTTAAGTTAACAAATAACATTTACCATTGGTTTATTTGTTATTGTTTTTAGAAAACAGACAACAAAAAAACACCACAGACTTTTCACCAACCTGCTTAAGTTTGAAGACCTCGATGTTCCTGACATGGTAAGCACTTCTGATTGTTTGCTGGTTGTATGGTGGACATTCAAAGTGGCCTGGAACATTGAGAAAAGAATAGTTGTCCGACAGAGATTTTGTCTCTCTCACGTGAGACAGCACTCCTCATTACTTCCTTCTCACATTCCTTACTCACAGACACACTGCACCGCCACATGCCATACTTATAACAGAGAGCTATTTGCTGCACAGCCACGCAACATCTGCCTGAGCCTGTTAATATCACAGAGTCATAAAGGTTGGAACTGAGCTCTAAGATCAAGCCCAACCATTGACCTATCTCTGCTCAACCATGTCTCTCAGTGCCACATCTCCATGCCTCTTGACCACCTGCAGGGATGGTGATTCCACTGGTGCCTGGGCACTGTGTTCCATCAGGTCTGTGCCTGCACACACACGGACACAGCCACAGAATGTACAGTAGATGGAAACAAGAATTATCAGAGAACAAACTGTAAAATTGTTTCAGTAGTTAGCGTTATCACCTCAAGTCTCATCTCCCACAAGCAATATCCAGATAAAGAAATTGTATGCTCTGTAACAACAAATTTAGTTAAAACTCACGGATATTAAAGAGAATTAAGTGTTCCAAAAAACTACTTTGTTCTTGGCAGCTTGGCAGCCACCTCCAAAGCCCCTTTGGAGCAGCATGCCAGGACAGGAGCATACATTCAGCCACACATTTAGCAGTGAGACAGACTGAGCTGCCAATCTGCTGACCCCCGGTGTCATTTGTGACCCCATCACCGGCTCCTCTCAGACACGCACACATAAAGCTGAGGGGAACCGAACCCCGCTCGGGCCGCCCCTCGTTCCTGCCGTACCTTTCCGGTAGTCGTGCGACTTGAAGATGCCCGAAATGCCGCCGATCCTCACTCCGCGGAACCGCACCACGCCCGCGTAACCTGCGGAGAGGAGCGGAGAGGAGCAGCACGTCACGGCCGGGAACGGGGACGGCACCGGGAGGCGGGGAGAAGCCGCACGTACCGAGGTAGTAGATGTTGGGCGCCACCCATCCGCCGTAGGGCAGCTCCTGCAGGTGGTTGGAGGCCTCGTGGTTCCCGCCGATGAACACCGTCAGCACCGGGGCCTTCTTCTCGCCGGAGTAGTACCTGCGGGGGGGACACGGCACGCTGCGGCGGGGCGGCCAGGCCAGGTGGGCCGAGCCGGCGGCACTCACCGGTAGAACGTCTGCATGTGGCGGTACTTGGCGGGCACGGCCATGCAGCGCAGGTCCGCCTCGTTGCGCACGGCCTGGAAGTCGCCGCAACAGAGCAACAGGTCGGGCCGCACGTTGTGCCGCTTCTGCAGCAGCTCCAGCGTCTCGTACATCTTATCCAGGGCGCCGTGGCAGCACCCCGCCACCGCCACCTTCATCCCGCCGCCGGGACACCGCGCAGGCGCCGACAGGCCGTGACGCAGAAGGGGCGCGCGGCGCATGCGCACTGCCACGGGGGGAGCTGTGCTTTCTTCGCGGTGCGGCAGAACTGTGTGCGGTGCCGGGGTACCAGGCGGCTCAGCAAAGGGGTTTTTAGCCGGTTTCTTGTAGCCCCGCACGAAGCAGACGCGGGACGCTCGGTGACTTCACACCGCTGCCTCGTCTTCCCTGCAGACTGCCAGGTGGCGTTTCGCAGAGCAGCGATTTCCTCGTTTTGCGGGGCGGTGGACTGACTCATCGGGCGGTATTTCTGCGTCACGTAATAACACCGCTCCTTACTTTTTCCACGTTTTATTTTAACAGTCTTGAGGGATTGAACAAACTTGCAGCGACGCAGTTAAGCATTAACTTGCTGCTGCTTACCCTGTAATCATCAAACCGAGGAGACATTCCTGTTCCCCTGAAGTAGCAAATATTACACAGTGGCCTCTCTTTGGTTACTGAGAAAACAAGAGTGTTCTCTAACGGGTTCCACAATTTCACAGTGTTGGGTTACTGTGTGTTCTTTGGGGCTCTTGTCCAAGCCCATCTGAAGTGAAGGGAAAAGTTCTTCTGGCTTCCACTGCCTAGAGTCCTCAGAGAAACAGCAAATCATCTGTTGCTGTGCTCGGCTCTTCTGGTGACTGCTGGGACTCTCAGCTCTCTGGGGAAGGCTTTGCAGCTTCTCTGGGGGACAGCAGCCACTCACATTGCCATGTCCCAGATATGCTGTAAGGCTACAGATAGTTGACAGCAAGGTCCTGAGCCCCAGAAGGTACCACCTCACCTGGGATGTGCCATCCTCTGGGTCCTCCTGAAGCTGCCAGGAGATGCCTCCTCGCTCCATTTCCCTGGCCAGCCAGGTCCTCACCTTTCTTTTCCTGAGTCAGCCTCATCTTTTCCTGCCTTTCCCCACCCAGCTCAGTCCCCAGCCAGGCAAGGCAAGCTGATGCTGTCTTTGCAGCTCCTGGGTTTGTTGTCTCTGGCTCATTTCTGATCCCCATGTGCCACTTTTCGCCAGTAAATTGGTGTTGAGCTGAGTCTGCACGTTTTTGGGTTACAGCGTTTTTGTATTTGTACACCATTCATCATGCATCATAACTCACCAAACTGAACTGCGGGTGTTGAGTAAAATTGCTCTGAAGTTTCCACAGCAGTGGGACCACAAAGGGAAGCAGGCACACTGCTACGTACAGAGTTAGCAATGGTGAGTTAATGCTCAGCTCCTTATTGTACTGTTCCATCCTTCAAGACTTTAAAAGCTGTATGGCTGAAGTGCAGCTCTCCTCCACCACATGATTAACATGTTGGGTTGCAGATTGGGCTCTGCGGTCATCGGCTATGTGCCTCAGTGTGTTCTGTGTGCCCCTCATTTCTGTGCCTGGCCCTCTGCTCCTCAGTGACCAAATGGATACACCTCCTGTGCTGGTGATAGGAACAGGCTGTGAAGAGAGTCCAAAGAAATAAGCTGAGCTCTGTGGTTGTTGGGTTTGAGGTGTGGAATCGTAGAATCATTCAGGCCAAAGAAGACCCTTCAGATTCCTAATTCCGACCCCAGCCCACCTCACCATGCCCTCTGCCCACACATCTCCACAGCTCTCTGTGCAGCTGTGCAGTGCCTCACTGCTCTTCCTGAATACATATTTTTTTCCTAATATCCACGTTGGTGTGCCCTTTCAGCTATTTCCTGCCTGAACTGATAGCAGAGTGTTTGGTTCTTTTTCTGCTGATCAGGCAGCAGCAACGTGGAACCACAGATGTACAGCAGCTCTCTACTGAGACATGAGGAAGAATGGGGGCTGAGGGGACGCAGGGCTGCACCACTGGTGTCTGAGAAGCTGAGGGGGAACTCCTGGAGAACTCCCTGTCAAGATCTCCGAAGCATCTTCTGAAGATACTAAAACACATTTAGAAAGCGCTGGAGTTAAGAGAACAGCAAAGGGAGCATCTGTCACTGACTGTCTGGGGAGGGACGGTGTGGCTGAAAGAGGTACGGGGAGAAGCGGTGGGAAGGTGATGGTGTGTGAAGCAGAGAGATGTGACACAGCGGCCAGAGGTGTTCCTCTGAGAGGTGCCACAAAGCAGCAGGATGTGTGTGTGTGTGGGATGGAAGGGTGCTGCAACCCAACGACAGCTCAGCCTCATCCGCGGGAAAAAAAAACCGATGAGATCGGCCTAAACGTCTGCAGGCTCCTCCGCAGGGCTGTTGTGGTGTCTTCGGTCACCTCCTGCCCCAGCGCTGCGTCTGTGACGGCCGCGCTTTTGCTCTCCTCCCTCTTCTTGTGCCTTCACCCATCGCGCCGTTCCGTGCGAGGGCACCGACGACCTCGAGCCGCGGCGGGCTGAAACCGACGCCCGGAGCAGCCGAGCGAACAACAGCCGACGGCGGGGGCTCGGCGTGCGCGAGGGGCGCGGGGCAGAGCGCTGAGGCGCAGCTGAGGAGGGGCGGAGGGCGGGAAGCGAGGGGGCGGCGCGTGGACGCGCGGGGTGGGTGTGTGTGTAGTGGGGGTGGGGGGCTGTTCTCCTCTCCCCTCAGCGCGGGCAGCGCCATTCCGCCGCCGCCTCCGGCTCCTCACCGCCCGGCCTCGACCTGCGGGGCCGCCCGCCCGCCGCCGCGCCTCCGGGGCGGGGCCCCCCGCCGCGCGGAAGGGGCCGGCCGGTCCGGGCAGCAGTGCGCGCCCGGCGGCGGGAGCGGCGGTGCCGGCATGGGACGGGGCGCCGCCCCGGCGGGTAGGTGCGGGGAGAGCGGAGCGGGGCCGGGCCGGGCCGGGCCGGGCCTGCCGCCCTCAGAGGGGGTGGCTGTCGCTCCCCTCGGGGACCGGCAGCGGGGGCAGGTGCGGGGCGGGCCGCGGGGCGGGCCGCGGGGCGCGATGTCTGCGGAGAAGCGATCCGGCGCCGGGCGGGATGTCCCGGAGCTGACGGGCCGGGCCGGGAGGAGCGGGGCTCGGCGGAGTGCGCAGGTAGCGCGTCCTGAGCGGGGTGCGGAGGAAACGCTTCTCACCTCGTGTGAGCGCGGAAAGCCAGTGCGCGATGCCTGGGGGGAGCTGAGCGAGGCAGAACCCCGCTGAGCCCCGCGCTCGGTGGTTATGAAAAAAGGGCTTTTTCTATTATTTTTTTTCTTGAGTGTTTTCTATGAAACAGAGAAAGTCATTTCTGAGCAAGAAAGGGAGCGGCTTTGGCTGCGAGTCTCGCTGGTTCCCTGGCAGACAAACCCGAGATTAAGCTGGGCATAAACTTGTAAAGTTGTGATTGAATAATGGAATAATTTACTGAAGGACGTGTTCTTACTGGAGCAAGTCTCTGAAGGTCATCACACACTGTGCTGGTCCCACGTTATGTAAATATTGTGAAGTCCGGGGCTGATTTTATTACCTCTGTTCTTCACACTAAAGAAGGAAGCACGATGAGATGTGCTGTCTGCGCCTGTTCTCCCTGGAAAGGCAGCCGGTGCCGAGGGGAGGTGGTGGCAGAGCAGCCGGGGGTCCCTGCACTGTTTGCTGTGCAGTGCTGCCTTTGAGTGCGGGGGTTTTATTGGTGATGTGCTCGTGGCTTTGCCGTGTATAAGCAAACTGATGTCCGCTTCAAGAAATAAACTTTACAGGCATCTACTTAAAATAGCCCTCTCCTCGTGATTAATTTTTGTGAATCTTTTGAGTGTGGTAGGTCTGCCCTCACCAGTTATGGTAGAGGGAGGTTATTCTTGTGAAAAGTGGGAGGAGATTGACAGTGCTATTCTTGATTTTGTAAAATTATTTATTTAATGCCTGTCGGATTCTGAGAAGTTGAAGCAACAATTGACTGCATACAAAGCAACAGAGAAGAGTTGAAGTTTACCAGTGGCACGTGGCCAGTTTCCATTACCTAGACCTCTGCAACTACTGTCATGTGTTATCTTGCTCTCATACTTTGCACAGAGGTACAGCGTTAAAGGTAGCTGTGGTCAGAGTGCCTCAAGTTAAAGTCAACAGACATGTGTGAGTACTGAGAGCTGCCCTGGCAATGCATGTTCCATCCTCTTCGCCTGCAGCCTGCAGTGCAGCTGGTGAGCATGGTGATGTGGGTGATTCAGATTGCTGCAATGGGGTCCTGTGGTCTTAATGTTCACTATTGGTAGCCACGGAGGGTAGATATGATGCTGCACAGTGCAGGTTGTTTTTTTCCGTGTTTATCCTCTCAGGACCTTTTTCTGTCCTTCCTACAAACCTCCTCACCCGCTCCCTAGAATTACACGGATGTGACTTCAGTCACTCTGAACTTGGAATATCTTGGTAAAGATAGAGAGATTCCCTACAGCTGTAATTCACTGCCCTTGTATAAGTGCTTTCCAGTACCATCCTAAATGACTGCATGCTATTTTTTCCCTGTATAACTAGGTTTTCAGCTGTTACACAGAACTGCACCTTTTTGAAGACTAAATTAGGGGTTGGAACTTGCTTTCCAATTCTGGCAGAAACTGGACAGTGAAGTAAAACTATGGTATGAAGGAGACTTTCTTATTCATAAGTAAGGCACTGAAGTGCTGTCTCGCAGAACTGGATTCGTATGTTTTACAGGACAAGTTTCCTCTACCAAGTACACTATTGTATTCTTCCTCATGCTTAGGTCTCTGGATGTGATCTGTGGATACACCGATGTGGGCAGGTGCAATGGAGCAGTTTGTTGTGTTTTGGAGGATGAAATGTTCTGTGGCATCCCGTGCCTTGAAAAATCAGTGCCTCTAGCTGGGCACTACAAACTGGTGCACTCTTTCCTTTGCCATGATTCTTGCCAGGTAAAAGGAAGATAATAGTCATGAATTCATGAGAAGTAGGGCAAATAAGTTAATGTTTAAGAAGCCTATAATACTATACTGATAGAGAAATTAATCATCCTCATTGTAGAACGCTGTACGAGTAGGAGATACTAAGCAATATATGAGGTCACAGACCTAAGAAAGCTGATTAAAAATGATTGTTTGTTTTAATAGATATTCATATTCATGAATGTGAGCACTGATTGCTATTCACTGAAATTAGAATGAGGATCTTTATGCTTCTTAGTGCTTATCTTTCTTTGTGTCATTTTAATCTGCTTCTTTTTAAATACACAGAGATAAATGGGTAGAACTTGATTCTTTTGTAAAGAGTCCTGGGTTAATAAAGATACAAAGGAAATGACTGCCTCTGTCCTGCAGAGATGTCAGGCTACAACACTCCTTGTTTTCCTTCGTGGAGGGAAGGGGATAGAAAAGTTAAGCTTCCTTCATTTTCTTCTTGCTTTGATCATGCTGATCTGTGCCTCTGGTGTGGCTTATCCGAGTCATAAGCAGTACAAGCTGTAGCTGTGCCAGACTTCTTGAATGCTGGGACATGCTGTACCTTTTGGCCTAATTTGTTACATTTCAACAGCTGCTGTCTTGGGAGCATGAGTGGAGGCTGGCAGGAATGGGCTTGTGGAAGGTATGACTGGTGGAAATGGCTGCGTACTCTTTGCTCCTGTGATTATGCCTCAGAGGAGAGGATGGGCGCACAGCACAGAACAGGAGTGTTTTCTCTCTTCTCACTGCTGACCGGTTGAAGGCGTGCAGTGCTGCACTTGGTACCAGGCTGGGATTACCCTGGAGAAATGGATTCTCATCATAGGTGAAGAACTTTTACCAAAACTCTTGAATACCTGAGGAAATAAGTGAGTAGTGTGGTATGGTGCAGATGAGACGTGAAGTCAGGGAAGGCAGCAGTGAAAAGTAAATAAGCCCCAAATAGATGAGTAATGAAGGAAAATATTGTTAATTTATAGAATTAAAAATCTATATTAGCTAGCAGGTAATAATTGGCAGATGGCTTGCCTGCTATGGGAGAAACTTGTCAGTTTCCAAGATGGTTTTGTGAAACCTGTAAATGCTGACCTCATTAGCAGGGACTGAGGGAATGCCATCTTGAACACTACTCCTCCTTTGTTTTCTTAATGCTTCAATAAAATCACTTTAATTTGTGAAAATTCATCGGATGTTGTTGGTACTAAATTAACTGTTTCCAGGGAAAAGAAATACATCCTGCTAATATGAAGTTATTTTTTCCTTGTAAGGGTATAAACAGCCAACAGAGACATTACTTAATCAAGCTGGCTTTCTGACCTCTGCCCCGAGCCTTGCTAATTATGTGCTTTTGAATCTTCTCCACTTCCAGTGTCTTCTGGTTGGTCACCTTATTTTCTGTCAGCATAACAAACTTAAGTGGGGCTTATTCTTCCTACAGGTGTTGTTTTTTTTTTACCTGTGGCTTGCTAAGTTCTGGCATGTCTGTTAATATATCGGGGCATGCTAAATAACCTAAGATTAACTAATAGCTCTAAACAGACAGAGGAACAACAATTAGTTGGCAAATTATTTAAACTTATTGGGTTGTTAGGCAAAAAAAAAATTGCGTGAGCTTTCAGCCTCCTGCTGCCTCATCTGTATAACTGGAAGCCAGTCCTGTGGGACACATTCCTGTCTGGTCAGTTTTGGTTCCAAATCTCTGCAGAAGGAAAGGTGTAGAAAGATATTTCTGAAAAACTGAGAAGGGTGAAACTTTCCTTGATAATTGTAGCCGTCCTGCTCTTCCAGCAACAGAAAGCTCCTCAGGGCCCCTGCGTTGGTTCTCACCAATCATTTTGGTGTAGCTGTGTTCTGGGACCCTGCGTGCTGATGTTTGTGAGGAGTGCAGCAGCTCCCGAGCGTTAGATAACACTGCGACTTAACCTGAGGGGATCGCACTGAGTAACACTGTGCTCACTAACTGTAAATCAGTATGTCAGAACAATAGTTAAGGACCAGTGCCAAGGTTGTTTTAAAAGAGCAGTGTAGGCTGTTGTTACTGATACCAGCCCTAATCTTTTTGAGTGTCGGGTTTGTTTTATGCTGCTGTAAACAGGGGCACGTTGTATTTCAGGAGGCGTTTGGTGTTGGTTTTTTTTGTTTTTTTTAAGCGTAAAGCTACTGAAATAGATTTCCAGGTGTGAAAATTGACTTCTCCAAATTCTATTGACTGTAAAGCAGTGTTTATCATCCTGTCACAGATGGTGATTCTCAAGGTCACGTCTGCTTGGAGGTGTGCCTCCATTAGTCCTTCCATTGCTGTGACCTTTGTGGTTCACGGCAAGAATGCAGAAGTCTCACTTCAGCTGGAGAAATTAGGGCTTGGAAGCTATTCAGCAAAAAAGCATGAAAGACAGAGAAGCAAGTATTCTGCTGTTCCTGGGTTTTTGGAGAGTCTCACGAAGCTTTTATTAACTCTTCTTAAAGGAAATATGCTGCCATGCAGGGAGGGTAAGTTTTTCATTAACCAATACCCGGTTAAAGTGTAGGAAGAAATGTCAGATTTTCTAGTGAAGAGTAATCACATTGAGATCCATTCTCAGGCTTGTGTTGCTCAACAGTTGCAAATGATCTGGAACAGAGGCTGAATAATGAAGTGGTGATACATGCTAAGAATTGCAAAATGAGAGTAGTAGAAACAAAAGGTGATTGAGTTGCGGAAGGTTCTTGTGCTAGTTGGTGGTATTAAAGGAAATATTAAAACAGAACCCCTGGATTGCCCAGAACCTTTCTGTGTCTGTGATCTGCTTTGATGGGAGCTTTGCAGGTTTGCAGTGCACGTGTGCCTGTTTTTAGCGTGGTTCCTGGAGCACCGCTCAGTCGCATCTAGTTCTGTACTGGAAGAGGTGAGCAGTCAGACCTTATTCATCTTTTATGTGCCATTCATGATTTTCTA